AAATAAAATAAATGTTAGCCAGGCATGGTGGTGCACACCTGTTATTCCAGCTACTCAGGAGGCTGAGGCGGGAGGATTATCTGAGTCCAGCAGGCTGAGGCTGCGTTGAGCTGGATTGTGCCACTGCACTCCAGCCTGGGGGACAGCTGGATACCCTGTCTAAAGAAGGAGGAGGAGGAGGAGGAGGAGGAGGAGGAGGAAGAGGAGGGGGCAGGCCAGCGGTGATCCTCCTGGTATACCCATCTCCATAGAAAACACAGGGACTCCTGTCTGGGGACCATCCCACGTCGACGCTGGGGTGGCCGCGAGCGTGCCACTGCACTCCAGCCTGGGCAATCGAGTGAGATTCCGACTCAAAAAAATAAAAAAGAACTCTGGCCAGGTGTGGTGGCTCAGTCCTGTAATCCCAGCACTTTGGGGGGCTGAGGCAGGAGAATTGCTTGAGCCGTGTGGACGTGCAAAACACTTAACTTACATTTTGCCTGACCCGACACCCAGGGCCGCCCGCTGCCATGTGGGGTGACGCTGGTGACTCCAGGCTGAGCTTAGGGTGCTCCCAGACATAGGGCACTGCCTCCACACGGCGCAAGGGCACAGGGACCAAACCCAGGCCTCCGGCTTGCGTGAAAAGGGCGAGGACCAAGGCAGTGCCGGCCTCACGTGCAACGAGCTTGTTGCGCGTGTGACGAGTGTGGGAGGGAGAGTTTCAGGCCGGCCCGCGGGTGTTCACAGAACATGTCACATGTCTCGCTAAGAAGCTACCAAAGGCTGTTGACTGTTCTCACGCGGAAGGTCCCTGCACACAGAGAAATCAAAATGCCAGGATTTCCCTGCCTTGGTCCCAAGGGGGAGGAGCCTCTAAAGGGGGTCTCAAGCTACCCAAACCCGGCATCCCTGCTTGAATTCATCCACCATATGGGGCCCAAATGTCGTAGAGTTGGATCTGAACTAAGTGATTCATAAAATAACACTCGATTTCGTTTGAGGTATGGGTGATGCTAAATTATCCACATCTGAAAAGACACTTTGGGGGCCTCTGGATTGCCCTTGTTTTGAATTCTGTGGTGCATTATGTACAAGATGGTATATGTATCAATGTAGACTTTGTCACCAAGATAAAAGGACTTTCTTTTAATGCTGGATGATTCTGGGGGGGTTGTCACCAACATTGCAGCTTTTCTTACTATATGGGGAATTCACTTTAGCCTGGAATTCTTTTTTTTTTTTTTTTTTTGAGTTGGAGTCTCACTCTGTCGCCCAGACTGGAGTGCAGGGGCCGCTCCCGGCCACCCAGCCTCAACTGCTGGGCTCCAGGGATCCTTCCGCCTCGGCCTTCCAAGTAGCCGGAATTACAGGCATGCACTACCACGCCCGGCTGATTTTTTTATTTATTGTAGCGATGAGGTCTCGCTGCCCAGGCGGGTCTCGAGCCTGCAAGATCAGGCAATCCACTCACCTCAGGCTTACTTTTTTGGGGTGTTTTTTTTGAGTCGGGGTTTCACTCTGTCACCCAGGCTAGAAGGCAGTGACATGATCACAGTTCACCACAGCCTCAACCTCCTGAGCTCAGGCGATCCTCTCGCCTCAGCCTCCTGAATAGCTGGGATTACGGGAGTGCACCACCCTGTTCAGCTAATTTTCTGTAGAGATGAGGTCTCACTATGTTGCCCAGGCTGGTCTCCAACTCCCAGGCTCAAGCAATTCTCCTGCCTCAGCCTCCTAAAGTGTTGGGATTATAGGACTAAGCCACCACACCTGGCCAGAATTCTTTTTTTTTTTTGAGTCGAAGTCTCACTCCGTTGCCCAGGCTGGAGTGCAGTGGCACGCTCACGGCCACCCCAGCCTCGACCTGCTGGGCTCCAGCGATCTTTCCGCCTCAGCCTTCCAAGTAGCTGGTACCACAACCATGTGCCACCACAGCTGGGTAATTGTTTAATTTTTTTGTAGAGACATGTCTTGCCGTGTTGCCCTGGCTGTTCTCAAACTCCCGGGCTCAAGCAATCCTCCTGGCTCAACCTCCCAATGTGCTAGCATTATAGGAGTGAGCCACCATGACTGACCAGTTTCCTTTTTTATTTTTATTTTTAGAGTTGGAGTCTCACTCTGTCACCCAGACTGGAGCGCAGTGGCCGCTCCCGGCCACCGCAGCCTCAACCTGCTGGGCTCCAGCGATCCTTCCGCCTCAGCCTTCCAAGTAGCTGAAACTACAGGCGCGCGCTACCACACCCTGCCCATTTTTGATTTATTGTGGAGATGACGTCTCGCCAAGTTGCCCAGGTGGGTCTCGAACCCACGGGCTCAGGCAATCCACTCACCTCAGCCTCCCAAAGGTGCGGGATTACAGGCTGAGCCACCGAGCCCGGCTCAGTTTCCTTTTTTAAATAATTATTTTGTAATACTAGCAACACATCTTCAAGAAAGAAAATGCAGGAAGGTATAAAGAAAATAAAAATCATTTCTATTATCATCAGTGGAGATAACCACTATGAATACTTTGGAATATTATCTTTACCATTTTTTTCTTTTTTCTATGAGAGAGGTCTCTCTCTCTCTCTCTCTCTCTCTCTCTCTCTCTCTCTTTCTCTCTCTCCTCTCTCTCACTACCTCTATCTTCCCGTCTCTCTCTTCTCTATTTCTGTCTCTCCTCTCTGTCTCTGTCTGTCTTCCTCTCTCTCTCTCTCTCTCTCCCTCTCTCTTCTCTCTCTCTCTATTCTATCCCCCTTCCATAAATGATCATGGCTTTCCCCGCTAAAATTTTAATCCACTGAGAACAAAGACTCTCCCTGCTTCTTTCCAATCCCTTGTAACAATTACAGGCTCTCAAAGACACTTGCTAATTCGTATTTCTGTATATCACATTAAAAAAACTTTAAATAGTCTGTTCTTTTTCTTTGAGGGTTTTTTAGTTTGTTTGCTTTGAGTCATAGGCTCACTTTGTTGTCCCGGCTGGAGTGCAGCGGAACAATCATGGCTACTGCAGCCTTGAACTGCTGGGCTCAGGTGATCCTTCTGCCTCAGCCTTCCAAGTCGCTAAAACTATAAGCACGCACCACCACACCCAGCTAATTTTGTATTTATTATAGAGATGAAGTCTCACCAAGTTGCCCAGGCTGGTCTTGAACCCCTGGGCTCAGGCAGTCCTCTGACCTTCGCCTCCCAAAGTGTTGGGATTGCAGGCATGAGCCAGCGCACTTGATTCTTATGAGGGATTAAGACAGAAGATTTAATATAAGCAACATCTTAAAACGTATCCACTAATTTTCCAGATGTTCCTCTTTACCAATACTACTAAGAAAGCTGATTAAGCTTTCTGGCAATAAAATACCTAGTAATATACTGTTGTCTGTGAGCAAATGCTATTTTTAGACCAGAAAGTATTGTCATTTCCCTGATGTTTAGCAAGTTCACTTATAATTAAAGCCATTCTTCCACTTAAAGATATGACACCAAAATAGAGATAAATATAATTTTAGAACTCTTGATTCTCAGATAATTCACTTCACGAAAGACGAGTTCACTAAAACTTTTGTGTAAAGCAGTGTTTCTGTAAACCTTGGTCGCATTTTCAAAGCACTGAAATAATTGGCTAGTTGAAGGAAACATGGCATAAATATTATAGGAGAATCATTAGTCTTTGACAATGTTATGTTTTTTTGTCCTTAGGTTTTGCCAACAGAATTTTCTTAAATGAAGGCACAATTCTATGTGGCATAAGACTCATGACAAACCCTCCGTTGCTCAGATCCTCCAGGGGACTGCATTGGCTCATTTTCATTTTAGAAAGCTTTGCTTACCGACCAACTGCCAGTCACTGGGAATTAGTGTGGTGAGGCCCACAGGCTGGTGAAGAGCTAAAGCACCACCGAGAGGGCTCACGGGGAGTTAAGGCGTGTTGTCCTCATGTCAACCCCCAGTGGCGAAGCCTATGATTCTCGCCATCATCCTTTCTACCTTTCTATCCTCCATCTTCACCAACTAAACTAGGACAAACACACCTACACGGAAGCACAAGGAATTTATGTTAAAGTAGTTACTGGGGGGAAGTGGGGGTGGGGGTACAGTGGCAGAACCTTCCCGGGAATTGCATGAAAATGCATAGAACCCCCTGAAAGTGCAGAAGGAAAGGGCCACGCAACGGCCGAGACGACTCCTCCAACTTTCTCTCACTCCTCTCAGTTGACTTATAATTAGTAACTTCAAGGCCGCCAGGGAATCCATCAGCCTATAGGCATGTATTGAGCAGAGGTAAAGGGTTGTGCTCAGATCGCAGAAGCATCGGAAATTACGGAGCACTGAAGGGTAACAGAAGGCTTGAGATGATAAGGCATGGGAATAGACAAAAGTGCAAGTGTTGTTGCAAAGTATCATGTGTACAGCAAAAAAAAAAAAAAGTAGTGAAGAGTTCTGTGAATTCAGAAGAAGCAGGACGCCAGTGGGCCAGCACATGTTCTAAGGACTTAATAGAAAAGGTGGCATGGCTAGTGGGTTTCTTTCTTTCTTTACTTTTTTTTTTTTAACAATTTGTAACCAAAACTTTAATCCCAAGGATTCTCACAAAACATATTACAAATGACAGCATTGAAGAAAAAAAAAATCTTGCACAGTAACTCAAAATTCAGCTCTACAATGTACCCTTAAACTAGCAGGATATTGGTATTTTGAAATCTCAAATTTCCAAATGAATAATATTACAGACAACCATGTATTTATATAGAGCGATCACACAGGAACTTACAACTTAGTGCAAAGGTAAACTTTCTTCAAATTTATCAGTTTCTATATCAATTCAGCAACCTCTGCCCAGGATAAAAACAAGCTGGATTTTTCAAAAACATTGTTATCTAATGATGCAGCTTTTATTTTTTCCTGCTGACTTGTTTCACAGCAGCTTTTAAAGACTGCTTGTTCAGCTGCATACTATATTCCAGTTATGGAAATAAAGTAAATTTTGGTTAAGTTTTTTCCAGTTTTGTTTCTAAATTAAAAAACATCACACTTCAGCTGGGCAGAATTTAGAGGTTTATTATCAGTCTATGCATAACTGAAGTTCCATGCAAATCCATTTTTGCTTAAGGGAACATTGTAAAGTAACACTTCTTGGTATTACATACCTCATATGATCCATTTCAAACCATAGAGTTTGTGTGTCACTGTTCCAAGAGACAAACAAATCTGAACAGCTAAAACATCTTAAAAATGCACCAAACTTATGAAGTCTCAAACAAAACTTGAATTTTCTGTACATACTCCTGTCAAATAAAGTTATTTCCTGAATACCACGTTTCTTGCAAACTGGTCTTCTATTTCCTTTCATTTGACCTAGATGGGTTACAAGACCTAGAGAAGGATAGGGATGGCTTATGATTCCTCTCCCGGGACAGCGATCTCTCTCTGTCCTCTCTCCAGAAAGGGATGTGCTCCAGCTGCAAGAGAAGCTTCTCCTTCCTGGAGATCTGTGCCGAGGTGGAGGGCTCCTCTCATGACAGTCATCCCAAGGATGACGACCCCAAGAGGGAGGTGGGCCACGATTTCTACTTCTTTTCTCACCGTTTGACAGCTCCACTCTCACAGGACAGCCACACAGCATTCTTTCATCTAGCTCTTGGACAGCGTCCGCTGCATCTTGGGGATCTTCAAATTCAACAAAAGCAAAGCCAGGAGGGTTTCTAACAACCCACACACTTTAGAGTAGTCCACAATGGCCAAAAGCTCATTCCACTTCAGTCTTATTTCCATTGCTTCCAAGATTACCTACATAAACCCTGCAATCCAACAGACAGGAATCACGATGCATTTCGAAATCTAGGGTAAAAAAGACTCAAACCCACACGCTCGGATGGATCGTCCTACTTCCCTCAGGCCCAACTCCAACCAAAGCTCTTTCCTAACTGGCGTCCACGAAATGGTCTTTTTTGTTGTTGAGCTAGTGTCTCACTCCATCACCCAGGCTGGAGTGCAGTGGCACATTCACAGCTACTCCAGCATCAACCTGCTAGGCTCAGGCAACCCGTCCGCCTCAGCCTTCCAAGTAGCTGGTACCACAGGCATGTACTATCACATCTGGCTAACTTTTTGATTTATTGTAGAGATGAGGTCTCACCAAGTTGCCCAGACTTTTCTCAAACCCGTGGGCTCAGGCAATCCCTCACCTCGGCCTCCCAAAGTGCTGGGATGACAGGCTTGAGCCACCATGTCTGGCCTACTTTTATTTAAAAATTTGTGCTTTACTTTTTATTTCAATAGCTTTAGGGGAGGGTACAAAAAGTTTCTGGTGGCTGAGTGCAGTCACTCACACCTATAATCCCAGCACTTTGGGAGGCAGAGGCAAGAGGAATGCCTGGGCCCTGGAGTTTGAGACTAGCCTGGGCAACATGGCGAGACCTAATCTCTATAATAAATCAAAAGATTTGCCAGGCATGATCACACACACCTATGGTCCCAGATACTTGGAAGGCTGAGACAGGAGGATCACCTGAGCCCAGCAGATCAAAACTGCAGTAGCTGTGATTGTGCCACTGTACTCCAACCCAGGTGACAGAGTGAGACTCTGATTTAAAAAAAAAAAAGGTTTGGTTATATGGTTGTATTGTATAAAAGCAAATAAGCCTGAGCTTTGAGAGTACCCACCTGTGCACACTGTACCTGATAAGTGATTTTTTTATTGTCCCTCCATCCCTTCTCCCTTCCTCCTTCTGAGTCACCAGTGCTTATTATACCACTGTCAATGTCTTTGCAGAGCCTTAGGTTAGCTCCTACTTATAAATGAGGACATGGGGTATCTGGTTTTCTGTTATGTTACTGTGTTAGTTCACTTAGGACAATGTTCACCCATTCCATCCAACTTGCTGCAAAAGACATTATTTAATTCTTTTTGATGGCTGAATAGTATTCCATAGTGTATACATGTATATACCACATTTTCACTCTCCACTGATCAAACAATGGACATTTGGATTGATTCCACATCTTTGCAGCTGTGAATTGTGCTGTGAGCTGTGAGAAAGGAGGGATGGAGACAGGAAGAGAGATGAGGGAAGCCACTGTAGCAGTTCGCATGGCCTCAGGAGGCCAGACCCATGGAAAGTGACTCACCAGCAGAGGGCAATGTGGGAACAGAACTTGGGAGGGCAGAACCAGGTTTCCTGACTTGAGAGGCACAGGGAGAGAGATAGAGAGCTGCAGCAACACAGTAGACTCTGAAAGTCCACATGCCTCACCAAGTGCACAGCCTCCACAAGACAAATAATCAGTTGACACAAGTAGAAAGAATTTCCTTCTTGTCTTTTCATGTTAAAGCTTTGACTCCCAGGAATGTTATATCTCAGAGCAAAAAGACAGGATTTCTAAGGGCTTTGGACACTTCTTTACCTGAAACTTTAGTTCGGCATAAAGGTTATTCTGAAGAGGCAGTGATGGCTTTTTCCTAAGGGGCCTTCTCACATATGCCAGAATTACACTTATAGAAAGTGGTTTGTCCTTTTCATTAACATTGCTGTGACACTGCCAATTTCAATTTTATCTTATGCAACACTAAGAACTTTCACGAATTACCACTGGTTCACTGAAAATTGCAAGATTGCTTCATTAAACCTGGGACTAGTTATTAACATTTTATGAGCTCTGTGGGTTTCCTCACATTAGATTTGAGCTCTAATGACTCAAGCTTTTTGTTTGAAATGGTTCACTTTTAGTGAACTTGTACATCTTTTTAAAAAGGAAACAGAAGAAAAAGGTGGCTCTTTTAACACAGTCCTTCAAATAGTCCCCAAATGTGGCAGAATATTGTCTTCTCTTCTTTGTTTTCTAAATAACACTAACTACATAGGATGTTTTCAATACTTAGTACTGGCTAACCAGCTCTGTGTGTGTGTGTGTGTGTGTGTGTGTGTGTGTGTGGTGGTTTTGGTGTTTTTATTTGTTTGCATTTGGTATGTGTCTAATCACAGCTATAGATCTGTGTTTTTAGACATTGACAGTTTCCATGATCCAAATTTACTGATAGAAAGTGGGTTTCTTCCCACCCTAACCTTTCCCAACCTCTTATAATCTAGGTGTGTATCTGGGCATTTTTCCTCTATCTGTGCATTCTTTGGGTCCCAACGAATGAACTCTTCTTCTTCAACATGGTCTCCCAAGATTGGTAAAACCCCCACTCTGTCTGCATGTAAATATACCTGTTTCTAGCAATAACACAGGAACAGAGTTGAACGTTAAGTGATTTTCCACTTCAATCGTGCTCTGGTCAGGCATGGTGGCTCATGCCCATAATTCCAGCACTTTGGGAAGCTGAGGCTGGAGGAGTTCGAGACCATTTCCACAGAGATCATGTCAGAATAGAGGAGAAAATGCAGGAGAAAGTGAGCACGGGCAGAGAATGCTGGCTCTGTTCCTTTGTGTACTCAAGAGAGCACTCTGCAAGTCCAACCTGAAAAGCCAATGGTAAGTTGAGTTCCTTGGGTCTTCTGCTGACTCACAGACCATTAAAATTCAATGGCATTTTAAGGCCCTATAAGTACACATCAAGGACTCTGAAACACAACCCTAAAGATTCTTTAAAAGAACTAATTTTTTTTTTTTTGAGTTGGAGTCTCACTCTGTCGCCCAGACTGGAGTGCAGTGGCCACTCCCGGCCACCGCAGCCTCGACCTGCTGGGCTCCGGTGATCCTTCCGCCTCAGCCTTCCGAGTAGCCGGAATTACAGGCGCCCGCTACCACACCCGACTGATTTTTTGATTTATTGTAGAGATGAGGTCTTGCTGCCCAGGCGGGTCTCGAACCTGCGGGCTCAGGCAATCCACTCACCTCAGCCTCCCAAAGGTACAGGATTACAGGCTGAGCCACCGAGCCCGGCTAAAAGAACTAATTTTTTAAAAGTATGTACTTGTTGCTTTTTATTAAAAGAATTTGTCTATTCATCAGAATTAGTGATAGACATTTCTCAGCACAACAACCATGCATACCAACAAAAGATAGAAATTGAATTTCAACTTGTATAAGGTCTGTTGGGAAATACTCACATCCTATATTTTTTGTATGATCTTTCTTGCAAACTTAAAGTAAGTTTAGAAGATCTAAAGACAAACCTCAAAACTGTATATGGTTTAATGAACTCACATGTCAGACTTGATGGTCAACTGTCTTCAAACTCAGACTCTAAGGAGAACTTTTCTTAACATCGGCTACAACCTGTCTGGTACATTCAGTGAAGTCCCACATGGACAGGTAGATGTGTGTCCAAACTCTTTAGACTGACAGCATTCTAGGCATTCAATCTTCTGGCCTCACCCTGTGTTGTTCCACATACACGTAAAATTCCAGTCCCACCCGACCTCCTGATCTGCGCCCTGCACTCCGGTCCTCAACCATCTATCTGCCCAAGTCCTCCCTCCATTCCAGGAAGTGCTCTCCATGTGTGCCTGCTAAAAGTTTTGCATGCTAAGACACAACTCAGATGTCTTCTACTCTGTAAAATATTCCTTGACTTTGAGCCTTGCTCCATAAAGTGTGGTCCCTATTTTTCTGAACACACAGAACGTTGGCGGCCTTACTCATCTTGATAAAACTCACGTGCCTGACTGCATGTCTGGTCTATGGAAGGCAGCATAATATCTGCTGAGTGAACAAATGGATAATTCTAGTGAGTCAAACACAAACTCTCTCTCTGACATGTCTTGTTCGCGACATTAAATAGCACCTCACCCACATGCAGTAGTGTGCATTCAATATATATTTGTTAGAAAAAAGAGAGAAAACAAGGGGAAAAAAATCCAAAAATTTATCTTTTAACTGCAGAAAGGAATGTATTCAAATAGGAGACTCCTGTTAACAGACGTGCTAATTTGACAGGAAAAAAAATTCTTCAGTGAAATGTTTTCACCAATTAATCAGTGCTACTTTGGTTTTCTTTTACTCTAAATAAAGGCAATTTTAATCCGTCTTAAAGATGTAGAAATTGAGGCCCAGAGACAGAAAGAAAAGCTGTGCAGGGCCACTGCCACATTCCCAGTGTCCCACTCTATGGTCCTGGGTCCCTTTTTGCCCATTAACGATGGAGTTTTGAGTCGATCCATACGAAGTACCATGGTGAATCATTTACCAGAAACAACAAAAATTAAACTATCCCCTGAGTATATTATTCATAAAGAAAAGCATTGTAGCGATGATAAAAAATCTCCTTTACATGACTGAGTTCTTTCTCACATCAAAACAAGAGGAGGAGGCTGGTGAAGATACTGTCTATACACGTGCCTCGTGATTAAGTTGTTGGAATCATAAACTAGTCTATTAGCATCTCATTACCAGTACAAAGATGCAAGTATAAACAAAAAGGCTTTTATAAAAAGGAGCACATTCGGCCGGACGCAGTGGCTCAGCCTGTAATCCCAGCACTTTGGGAGGTTGAGGTGAGAGGATTGCCTGAGCCCGGGGGTTCGAGACCAGCCTGAGCAACTTGATGAGACCTCGTCTCTACAATAAATCACAAAAAACTAGCCGAGTGCGGTGGCATGAGTCTGTAGTTCCAGCTACTTGGAAGGCTGAGGCGGAAGGATAGCCTGAGCCCAGCAGGTTGAGGCTGCGGTGGCCATGAGCATGCCACCGCACTCCAGCCTGGGCAACAGAGTGAGACTCCGATTCACCAAAAAAAAAAGGAGCACATTCGATATTTAGGGGAAAAGTCATTCAGCCACATTCACATTTTTTTTCTTTTTGTGGTCTCACTCTATTGCTTAGGCTAGGGTGCAGTAGCATGATCATGGCTCACCTCAGTCTTGGCCTTCTGGGCTCAGGCAATCT